AGGTGACAGGGAGGTCCCAGGAAGCAACAGCAAAAACCCAACTCAAGACAGGAATGGATGAATCACCCGAAGCGCTTGGAAATTAATGTGGGCATGCATCGGGAGTCCGGAGGAGCTCTTGGGGAAAAAAATGATGGGTACATAGAAACTAAACAAGTAACAGCAAGGCAGTTATTACCTTTAGGTAAGACAAGTGGTTGTCTAAAAAAGGGAATCACAACCATAGAATGCTACCTGGATTAGTCATAATAATGTAATGCTAACGGCTGTAGCTTTTACCCAGAACTGTGCTTACCGCCATTTTGGGAAAATGGGGAATGAGAAAGTGGGGGTGGTTGTATACGACACCTTAATCTTCACCTGTCCCAATTGGAATTCAATAAATCCAAAATGGATAAATCAAGGAATAATGTCTCATGCCAACTTACTTAGACATAGGCAAAAAAACAGAAGGAATGGCTAAAACTGTTGAAGGTGGTGGGCTTTTTTTCATAATAAGTCTCTTATTTAAAGCCATTCAAAGCCAGTAGGTTGGGCGTCCGACTTCAGCTCAGGTCATGATCTCACGGTTTGTGGGTTCGAGCCCCGCGTCAGGCTCTGTGCTGACAGCTCAGAGCCTGGAGCCTGTTTCAGATTCTGTGTCTCCCTCTCTCTCTGCCCCTCCCCTGCTCATGCTCTATCTGTCTCTGTCTCTCAAAAATAAATAAACGTTAAAAAAAATTTTAAAGTCACTTGACTTTAAATTTTTTTTTAACATTTTTTATTTCTTGAGAGACAGAGACAGAATGTGAGTGGGGGAGGGGCAGAGAGAGAGAGAGAGAGAGAGAGAGAGGACAGAATCCAAGGCAGGCTCCAGGTTTATTTATCTGAACAACTGAGATTTCTGGTACCCTGCAGGGATCATTCCCTAAGAAACAGGGAGGGAGGTAATACCAATCTTGCGCTGGGTAAACCGAAGCCCCCGTCTATCAGCATCGCACTATGTCTATCAGCATCTGGCACTGCCCTCCGGGCTCCTCCAGGCCTCCAAAGTGCCAGAGGCAGCGTCGAGGGGCACACAGAAACTCTCAGCCAAGATGAACAACCCGCATCTGGGTTCAAGTGAACAGTGCTACCACAGTGGGAGCTAGCTCATCACGTGCCTGGCCCAGTGCCAACCAACTACACTCCCGCTTCGTCTTGCTTCGGCTTCCCAACAAGGGGGTGGGTCGGGGCCTTTAATGTCCTTGTTCAACCAAAGAGGAGATATTCAGCCTGGGGACGCCACAGAAGGCACGCACGTTCACTGCATTCACTGCGGGGCACAGCTAGGACAGGAACCCAGGCGTGCGGGGCTCCAGATCGCAACTCCCAATGACACTCTGTGCGGGGCCTTCCCCCCGCGTTTGCATAGTTACAAGTGTGCAAAACTGGCCGTCCTGTCTGTTCCACCACTTCTGGTCCTTGGTCCTTGAGTAAGTTGCTTAACCTCCCGGACATCAGTTTCTTTCTCTGGAAAGCTAAAGATTCTGGGTCTATCTCACCCAGGAGGCTCACACAAGATGATACGTGTGAACATTTCAAATAAGCCCGAAGTGGGGGCGCCTGGGTGGCTCAGTCGGTTAAGCATGTGACTGGCTCAGGTCATGATCTCACGGTTCGTGGGTTCGAGCCCCGCGACGGGTGCTGTGCTGACAGCTCAGAGCCTGGAGCCTGCCTCAGATTCTGTGTCTCCCTCTCTCTCTCCCCCTCCCCTGTTCACGCTGTCTCTGTCTCAAGAATAAATAAACATTAAAAAAATAATCAAATAAATAAGCCCGAAGTGCCAATTTCTGCAAACGAAAATATTATTTCTGATGGACGGGAGGGAGACAGGCGGTCTTGTGACCCTACTTGGTCTCTGATAGAAACTTCAGGGAAGCCAGGCTCCAGTCCAGATCCTGAGAAGAGACAGCTGGGGTTCTGGATGGCAGAGAGCCGCCCAGGCGATAGGCTGGGGGACGCTGCGGGTGCCTTGGCCCCAAACGTGGCTGCACTGTTACCCCCACCGGGAGAACCTGGGGATTTGGTCTCCTGTTCTATTTTCCATTGATCCCAGAGTCTTCGAGCAGCATGGTATTCATAAGCACTGCAGCCTTCCGCTCCAGCTAAGCATCTGTATCTGGACTGAATGGAACACCTCCGAGAGAGAAACTTGTTCACCTTTACCCAGGTGTCTGTACAAGCACGATCTGGGGCCAATTTTCCCCGCCGGGTTGAAATGAGGAAATCAGTTCCGGGGACTGGTGCTTCCAGACATTCACTGCCCCAGGGTGCCACCTGGTGGACGATGCTCAACTTTGTATTCCTGAACTTTCTCCAAGGGTCTTCCCGTTCATTAAACAAAAACCCTCAGAGACTCTCAGTCTGTAAGCTACCTGAGGCCGGTATTATTATTTCCACGCTTTAATGAGAAAACGGGCTTAGAGAAAGGAAGGAATTTGCAAGTTCCTGGACCTGCGGTTACTGTCTTTTTCCTCCATTCGGTGAAACCCCCAAATACTGTAGTCTGAGCAGTCTGGGCTTGAGCCAGTTTAAGTCCTGGCTCAGCAACTGTCACCAAGTGAGGTCCTTTCACACGACTGAATTTGATCCTTACCAGGCCCTCCATCACTGTGGACACCTGCATTTAGAGGGACTATTCTGTGCAACGAACCTGCTGACGTATTTCTAGAAGAAAAACGGATGGCTGATATACCAATCCAACTTGTGTGTGTGTGTGTGTGTGTGTGTGTGTGTGTGTGCGCGCGCGTGTGTGTGTGTTTTAATGTTCGGCGAGTTGTTGCAATCCCCCCAGATAGGGTTTGGTTAGACATGAAAACACAGGCAATAGGATCTCCTCAGACTTCTCTGAGGACAGCCACTGAGCACTTTACGGTGAGTGCACTTAGCTTTGAAGTTCTCTGTGGCTGCCAGGGCATTCTCCACTCTCGGGAGAGCCTGCCCTCTGGGGCTCAGGGCAGCCCAGCGGTTGAGCCCCACGATCTGGAGTCAGGCTGCCAGCTTCGGGCCCCCCAGCCAATGTTGCCATTTGGCAGATATGCGACCTCGGGCGAATCTCCTAACTTCCCTATGCCTCACCTTCCTCACAGGGAAAACCTGGATAGAAAGTAGTATTCGCCTCAAAGTGTTGTGAAGGTTCAGCCGCACAACTTACAGAAAGCCCTCAGCACCCAGCATGCCACGGTGCGATATTCTTAAATATCAGCTTTCTCTGTGGTGGTTAATGAGCTGGCCTGAGGTGGTGCCCTGAAGGCTTCCTTGATGAGCACCAGTGTGGGTGTTCAAATACGTTCTCCCAGGAGAGGCTCTCAAGGTGTTCTGCAAGCCTCCTTCCCGAGGGAGGGTGTGTGTGCTAGAAATGTGTGTGGGCATTTTGGGTTATCCAATGAAAGGAAACACTACAAGCATGTGAACTTGATGCAGGGCGAGGGACTGTCCTACCCAGTTAAGAACTGTCTCCTGACTGGCGCCTGGGTGGCTCAGTTGGTTAAGCATCCGACTTCGGCTCAGGTCATGATCTCACGGTTCGTGGGTTCAAGCCCTGCATTGGGCTCCGTGCTGAGAGCTCGGAGCCCGGAGCCCGCTTCGGATTCTGTGTCTCCCCCTCTCTCTCTGCCCCTCCCCCGCTCATGCTCTGTCTCTCTCAAGAACAAATAAACTTAAAAAAAAATTAGAAAACAATATCACAAAGAAAGAATTGTCCCTTGAATAGCCATGTTTCTAAAGAAGATGTACAAATGGCCAACAAGCATCTGAAAAGATGCTCAGCATCTTTAGGGAATCATTAGGGAAATGCAAATCAAAATGACAATGAGATACTGGCTAACACCCAGCAGGGCGGCTATTATTAAAAACCCCCCACAAAATAACAAGTGTTGGTGAGGAAGTGGAGAAACTGGGACCATTATGCAATGTCGGTGGGAGTACAAATGGGGCTGTCACTGTGGAAAACAATATGGCAGCTCCTCAAAAAATGAAACGTACAATGGCCATATGATCCAGCAGTTCCACTTTTGGGTACACACCCGAAAAAACTAAAAGCAGGGACTTGAAGAGATATTTACAGGCCCATGTTCACAGCAGCATTAAACACAATAGCCCAAAGGTGTAAGCAACCCAAGTGTCCATTGACGGATGAATGGATGAAGAATATGTGGTCTATACGTACAACGGAATATTATTCACCCTTAGGAAAAAAGGGAATTCTGACCTGTACTATAACGTGGATAAACCTTGAGGTCCTACTGCTGAGTGAAATGCACCAGTCACAGAAAAACAAACACTATAGGATCGTCTTATGTGACGTCCCTAGAGTAGTCCAATTCATAGAGACAGAAAGTAGGATGGTGATGGCCAGGGGCTGGGGGGGATGGGTAGATCAGGGAGTGAGCGTTTAGTGGGGACGGTGTTTCAGTTTTGCAAGATACAAAGAGTTCTGGAGACGGATGGAGGCGATGGTTGCAAGGCACTGTAAGCAGACTTAATATCACTGAACTGTATACTTACCAGTAATTACAATGATAAATTTTATGTGTATTTTAGCATCCTTAAAAAAAAATCTGTCCAGCCTAAAGTGCTGATTGATGCAAATTGCATCACTGAGAGATGTTGCCAGAACATCTAAAAACGGTCAATGTGCATGCATTTGGTTATAAGCAGCCCACTCATCCTTCGGAGACCAATCCGCGTGGACCCTGTGCATCTGCCCTCCCCGTCCACGTCTCCCCTTTGTCTCAGTCGCCAGGTTGAGGGACGAAGGCACACCTCCAAGGAGCCAAAGAGTGACAGGATCCGGACAAGTCCCATTATTAAACAGATAGTATTACTTCCATGACGTTCTCATTTATTTATACTAATTCACTTATAAATTATGTCTACTAATCAATACAATCACATCGGGGCAGCGACTTGGGATTGCCAGCTCCAAACGCTACTCTCAGATTTCAGGGGAAAGCTGAATGGGAAGAAAAAGTTCTTACCTTGTAGATACAGGACTTAGCATTCAGGAAGAAGAGCTCAATGGTGGCATTATCCTTTAGGTACGAGATGCTTTCTATGTAGAACCTGAAAGACAAGACTGCAAGTGAACCACAGAAGCAGCAACTGAGATCGACTGTTTTCTGAGCTACAGGATTGGATGTGAGGACCAGAACTCCCAATCCCTATGGAAAAGAAAAAGGTGTGATCAGTTTTCCCATGGTTCCTTTCTGAAAGAAAGCAGAGTGTTTCAAGCCCCTTTCTAGCACATTAGGACAGCTATGTCTGCCAACCTTCACCATGGTTCAAGGACCTGGGACAGCCATCAGCTTCCGAGAGTACGGATTAAATCTGACCATCTACTTTCTTTTTCCTGACCCGCCTTCCAATTTTTTAAATAATATTGTTTGTTTTCAGGGCACCTGGGTGGCTCAGTCGGTTGAGCATCTGACTCTTGATTTCGGTTCAGGTCATGATCCCAGGGTCATGGGACTGAGCTCTGCATCGGGCTCCACACTGAGCGTGGAATCTGCTTATAATTCTCTCTCTCTCCCTCTCCCTGCCTGCCCCTCTCCCCTCCGTGCGCGATCTCTCTCTCTAAAATAATTTTTAAAAATCAATTAAAAAATATTATTTGTTTTCAATATATTATTTTTTTTGTGCTAATCATTGTTGAGTTGGATTTCTTAAAGATAATTTCTTCTGCTCAGTTGAAGAAGGGGGGCCCTACTTCTCTCTGAAATGGTTACACTATGTCTCCCCAAAGGCGGTGAGGTGTGGTTTGATTTCTGTGTATCCCGAGAGCTGAGGCAAGGGTTGGGAACACTCTGATGTTAATGCACATTAAGCCAAATGAGATTGAATTTTTATCCAGATGAAGCTTATAGATTTTTTTCACGATGAAACATGCTGAAATTATTTATACATTTACTACACCTTTACACATCGACTTTGGAGTGCATTAAATTACTTAATTAGATAAGGCACTTGTATTGGTCTCAGGACCAGCTGCGTGCAGGGAATAGCTGTTGTGCTCACGGAGGCGGGGGACAGAATGCAGAGCCTTGCAGGGGAACAGGCCCCGCGTGGGGGTGACCGCTCCTGTGGGGCACTGGATCCTTGCCTCCTGGAAACAGGGGCTACCCCGAGATGGCAGAAGGCAAAAAGAGAAGACAAGTGCTAAGTTCGAGAACAGCGTTACAATGTGATGGAAAGAAACCTGGGGAGGAAATCCAGAGACCAGTGACCTGGGCCCAGCACTGTAGGATTTAGGGCAGATCCCATAATTTCTCTGGGCTTCTGTGTTCCAGACTGTGATGGAAGATAGCAGGACCCAGTCAGCGGTTCTCCACCCAAGAAGTCTACCGTGGTCAGATGCTGGAAACTCCTCCAGATTCCCACAACAGCCAAAAGAACAAACCAACACCGTACGAGGCAAACAAAACCCATCCCTAGGCAAGGATGAGCCCACAGCCCACCAGTTGGCAACCTCTTGTCTGTAGACTAATAATGCCTTCTACCATTTTTCCAACACGTGCAGAGGCTGCCATGATTAACACCAGGCCGATCACTTTGGTTTGTGAGTGATTCCAGAGTAACTTCTGATATTAGCGGATACGTTCAATCAGTATTAACACGATGACCACCAAGTGAGAGTCTATAAAATGTTTGGAGAGGACAGTATGGCCCCCATTCTTGCAAAGCCTGGGAATGAGTAGGCTGGTGGGTCTCTACCACCTGCTCTCTCCCTGAAAGAAAAAAAAAAGAGAAGAAGAGGAAAAAAAAGAAAGCACCTTGCCTCCTGCTCTTGGAGCAGGTATTTGAGGTCATGGAGGTCTCGGCGAAGGGTCTGCTGCGGCCTGGGAGGAAGGCAAACTTTCGCTTCTCCACTAGCAGAGAGTTGAAATGAAGCAGCAAACTCTAAGTCTTTCTTAAATTTTATTTATTTTTATTTATTTTATTTTATTTTATTTTATTTTATTTTA